AAATCAAGGCTGTCATCGTGTCCAGCTTTGATTAAGAAATATTTGTTTATGGCCAGGCACGGTGGCTCATGCCTGTAATCCCAGCACTTTGGGGGGCCAAGGCGGGCAGATCACCTGAGGTCAGGAGTTTGAGACCAGCCTGGCCAACATGGTGAAACCCCGTCTCTACTAAAAATACAGAAATTAGCCGGGCATGGTGGTGGGCGCCTGTATTCCCAGCTACTCTGGGGGCTGAGGCAGGAGAATCGCTTGAAGCTGGGAGGTGGTGGTTGCAGTGAGCTGAGATCACGCCACTGCACTCCAGCCTGGGTGACAGAGTGAGACTCTGTCTCAAGAAAAAGAAAAGAAAAGAAAAGAAGTATCTGTTTAATTATGCTACGTAAAATAAGCCAGTGACAGAAGGACAAATACTGTACCATCCCACTTATGTGAGGTACCTAGAATAGGCAAATAAATACACAGAGACATAAAGTAAAAGAGAGATTGCCAGGGGATAAGGGGTAGAGGAGAAGTTCTTCTTTAGTGAGTACATAGTTTATGTTGGGGATGATGAAAAAGTTTTGGGTACAGATGGTGGTGATGATTGCACAACATTATGAATGTATTTAATGCCACTGAATTTGTACATTTACAGCTGGTTAAAATGATAACTATTATGTATGCTTTATCACAATTTTTAAAAAGGTAACAAAAAAGAAGTATTTGTTTAAATAGGTTTTCTTTGTAGATTGCAAGCTTGTGGGAATGGGGAAAGAGCATGATCTTTTCATCTTTATACAAGCACAGTGCTCGACATGAGATAATCGCTCACCATTGCTTCAGTTCAGGACTGGAAATCAGTGGAAAGGAAGCACAGTTAACGCAAGGTTTCCCTATGTCTTTTAGAAGGTTTTGAAATTTCATTTTAATGTCAAATCAGTTTTATCAGAGGGAATCCTGATTAGTTGCAATTGTTTGTGGATATTTATTGGCTTTAAAAGAAAACAAAAAATGATATTAAAAGTCATCCAAAATGACTATTTTCTTAGCTTTCTCCTTTTATGGGTAGCATTTTAACAAAATCAATTTGAGTAATAATAACTTATATTTATATAACACTTAGCAGCTTTTTCAGAGAGTTTTCATAGCTTGCACCATTTGAAGCCACAGAAAGCGTCAACTTCTTGTTTTTTTGTTTTGTTTAATTTTTTTTTTTTTTTTTTTTGAGACGGAGTCTCGCTCTGTCACCCAGGCTGGAGTGCAGTGGCACAATCTCAGCTCACTGCAGCCTACACCTCCCGGATTCAAGCGATTCTCCTGCCTCAGCCTCCTGAGTAGCTGGGACTACAGGCATGTGCCACCATGCCTGGCTAATCTTCTATTTTTCATAGAGACAGGGTTTCTCCAGGTTGGCCAGGATGGTCTCGATCTCCTGACCTTATGATCCACCTGCCTTAGCCTCCCAAAGTGCTGGGATTACAGGCATGAGCCACTGCACCCGGCTGAACTTCTTGTATAGTGTAACTGAGCAACTATTTTTCCTGCTCCTTGGGTTCTAGATTCTTGCATAAATTTAAGGGTGTACTTTAAGCATTAAACTTAACCATTTCAGTTCATATTACTGTAACCGCTCAAGGGATTCTTCCTACCTGCTGCACAAAGAAAGACCATGGCATTGCAACCGCTGCCTGGACAGAATCCATTTACCAAGACGGGGGAATTGCAATGGAGAAAGAGCCCACTGTGTGGGAGACCGGAGTTTTATTATTACTCAAGTCAGTCTCCACGAGCATCCAGGGATCAGAGTTTTTAAAGATAATTTCGTGGGTAAGGCCTTGAGAAGTGGGGAGGGCTGATTGCTCAGGTTGGAGATGGAATTATAGGGGGTCGAAGTGAGGTTTTCTTGCTGTCTTTTGTTCCTGGGTGGGATGGCAGAACTGATTGAGCCAGATTATGGGTCTGGGTGGTGTCAGCTGATCCATCAAGTGCAGGGTCTGCAAAATATCTCAAGCATTGATCTTAGGTTTTACAATAGTGATGTTATCCCAAGGAGCAATTTGGGGAGGTTCAAACTCTTGGAGCCAGAGGCTACACAACCCCTAAACTGTAATTTCTAACCACTAACTAAGTTGTTAGTCCTGCAAAGGCAGACTCGTCCCCAGGCAAGAAGGGGGTCTTTTTGGGAAAGGGCTGCTATCAATTTTGTTTCAGAGTCAAGCCATGAACTGAATTCCTTCCCAAAGTTAGTTCGGCCTACATCCAGGAATGAACAAGGACAGCTTAAAGGTTAGAAGCAAGATGGAGTTGATTAGGTCTGATTTTATTCACTGTCATAATTTCCTCAGTTATAATTTTGCAAAGGCGGTTTCAGCATTATAGTAAAGAAAGAGTTTAAGTAGACACAAGGCAAGCCACACCATGTGGGAGATGGAATTAGTAGTGAAATAATCTCCGCCAAAGCTCATAGGTTAGGAGTTTTTCAAAGGCAGTTTAGGGGAATGGGTGGAGGTGGCTAGGCTTGCTGCTGATTGTTTGAGGAGGAGATGAAATCAGTGTCCTTTGATTTCAAAAATACAATGAGGGATAAATTGATAGGATGTCTGGGAATTTGCTTCAAAATAAGCTGGGGAGGAAAATAGCGGGGGGGGGGGGTAGGAGAAGTATAAATAAAACTTGATTGGCCATGAACAGATGGTTGAAATGGAATATTGGGTACGTAGGTGGTTTTATTATAGTGTTCTTACTATACTAGTATAAAATTGAAGTTTTCCATAATAAAGTTTGTCTTTGTTAAGAAAAACAAAGCAGAGTGAGATTCTAAATTGAAGTTGCCAATGGCCTATTGTTCTTTTAAGTCTGCTCAGTTAATTCAGTTAAGGAAGTTATTTGAAAACAGGGTGCTAATGCGCGTCTTCTTTTTCTGGGGTATAGTGTCTCACCCCGAGAAGATTAATGACTGGAACACACACATGGAGTTAAGGAGAGGAAAGTTTAATAGGCAGAAGAAAGGAGAGAGGAGAGCAACTCTCTCTCTTGCAAGAGAGGCGTCCAAAAAAGGGACAAGTGGCGGGCTGCAGCAGATTTTATAGGCAGGCGTGAGGAGGCGGTGTCTGATTTACATAGGGGCCACAGATTAGTCCCACCAGATGTGACATTTACATAGCATGTGGGAAGGCTGATCGTCCCACCCTAATCTTATTTTGCAAAGGGGCTTTCTACTTGGCCAGTGCCATCTTGTCTGCTCTTTACCGTACACTTGGCTGGCAAAGAGAAGATGGAGCCGCCATTTTGAAAGTGCCTAGTCCTAGGTAGTATTTTTCTATTGGCACAACTGCCAGCATTCGCCTGTGCAAGCTTCCAGCTTGCTTGTCTATGTCTGCAGCTCAATTTTACAGGCTTCTCTTTGTTAGAAAAGAAAATGATTTGGGGGCTGCTTTTTATTAAAAGGAAAACCTTACTGAGGACTCCCATACCCTCACTATCTGCCTAAGTAATTTCTTCTCAACTCCTATATCACTATTATTTAGCTCAAGGCACTATCAAGATAATCCCTTGAAAGTTTATTACCAGTCCATGTTTTAAATCCTGAGTCAAACATTTGCATCTCTTAAATAAGGTCCATTTTGACATACATGCTCCCTTCAAAAATGTATATACACAGATACACACATAAAACTATAACCTGGCCAGATGCAGTAGCTCACACCTGTAATCCCAGCACTTTACGAGGCCCTTAAGCAGGAGGATTGCTTGAATCCAGGAGTTTGAGACCAACCCAGGTAATATAGTGAGACCCACGCCCCCATCTCTAAAAAAAATAAACAATATTAACCAGGGATAGCCAGACGCAGTGGCTCACAGCTGTAATCCCAGCACTTTGGGAGGCTGAGGCTGGAGGATCACTTGAGGTCATGAGTTCAAGACCAGCCTGGCCAACATGGTGAAACCCTGTCTCTATGAAAAATACAAAAAAGAGCATCTGCACAGGCCGGAGGGAAAGAAAGGAGTTGGAAGAACTGAAGCCCACGTAGCTGGTGGGCAAGCAGGAGTGCAAATGGATGTGAGGCCGAGATCTTAGCAGGGCCAGAGCACATGGCCTTGCAGCCACACCACAGTCATGGTTACACAAATGGTGTCCTGAACAGCTGTTTGAATGTGTCTCAAGTACTCAGACTAAACACTTCTAAATCTGTAGTGGAATGAATGTGTAACCAAGAAAAATTGATTTTTTTTTCAGAATTTCAGAATGGAATAGGGATAGTTTTCAGGGAAAATGGATGAAGCAGTACTGTGGTGGGGAAAGTGTTCAAAGTTAATATTACCATAATTTCAGAACACCATAGTGAATACCTTGGAAAGCATCATCTTCTGAGACTTTGACTGTGACCATGTGAAAGGTGGAGAGAGAATTCAGGATTAACTTTGTCTGTTTTCCCATGTTCAAGGGCCATTGTGTTACACCAAAAATTGGCAAAGAGTCATAGATTATATTTAAGCTCAGATTTCAAAACTGCCCATGACTATTTTGGCAGGATGTGTCATGGGTTTTGTTTTGTTTTGTTTTTGTAAGCAATCTAGATACAGATGTTTGTTTTTAGTCAGACAGCCTGGAGGGAGCTTTAATGTTGGGGTTCTTCGTATATGTAAATACCATGCTGGATAATTAATTGGGATTTCCTAGAGCAATTTTTTTTTTTTTTTTAATTTTAAGAAACTGTACTGTAAACAGTTTTTTCATTCTTGTGGCTAAAGAGAAGCTTTTCTCTGGACTTCTAATATTTGCCAACCCTGAGGGAAACGCAAAGCATGTGAGTCAGGCCTCAGGACCCTCCCTGCCCTCCACTGAGGGGACCAATGAGTTTGAGGAACAAGAGTGGATAAACGTTAACTCTCATCTGCCCTCCCTCCCTCCACTTCAGGGTGTGTACTCCTAGTCTGAATATTGTCCTACTTAGAGGTTTCTCCATGATCTTAAGTCTCTGTTGTTTACAGCTTTCCCTCCTCTGCCTTCATCCCTCTAGGTTATTAGGTTCCTGCAACTTAACTGGGAACTGATCAAGATTTCAAGCTAAGATGGTGGTGATGAACAGCCTAAGGGTCATTCTTCAAGCATCTCCAGGCAAATTGCTGTGGAGAAAGTTCCAGATTCCGAGATTCATGCCAACGAGGCCCTGCAGCCTCTATACTTGTACTTACAAAACCCGGAACCGAGCCTGTGAGTACACCACTTCCTTAAAGAGAACAAAAAGGGCTCCAGCCTGAGTGACAGAGCGAAATCTCATCTCTTAGAAAAAAAGAAAAGAGGGAGCAAGTGTGCAAGAGCAAAAATACTTGTCTTTATAATAATCACACATGTTAAACATTTGCAGCTATGCTGTCTTTGGCTTTTCAGTGTAGGATTATATGCCTTATGAACTGTGAGAATAGCTGTTTCTCTATTGATTCATGAAAGTAAATGTAGAATGTTCTTTCTTGACTAATTTTAGCATGTTAAAATGATGTCATGCAGAAACTGGACAAGAGACAGATCCCAGTTTTTAATATTTTGGAACCCGTTGTTTATTATTTCTTGGTAGCAATTGTCTTTTTTTTTTTTTTTTTTTTTTTTCCTTTTAAACAAAGGTTGATCCACAAACCACAAATTATTTCTGGAAACCTTACGTTTCTAGAAGTTGCATGTAAATGTTTGTAAGCAGTTTACTAGCTTCAACATTCTGGAATATTCTGTCCTGAGTTAGGAATTACAAAGTTAATTCTAGCTGTTCAGTTTGCAAGTGTGTGCTCTGCTGTAAGGATGGAAGATTGAGTGAGGCAGGAAATGGTCTTCCTCACACGTCTCTCATCTCGTTCCCCTTCTGGAAATACAAGGCATTGTCCATGTCCGGATGTGGCAGGGATTCTCCACTGCGGCGTGATGGACATTGAGGATGGATCATTGTGTGTTGTGGGAGGTTGTCCTGTGTCCTGGAGGGTCTTTACAGCGTTCCTGGCCTCTGCCTACTAGTTGCTAGTAGCACCCTCATGAAGCTATAACAACCAAAACTGTCTGCAGATTGCCAAACATGCTCTGCGTTACTGCCCTGGAGAGGGCAGTTGAGAGGATGGGAAAGGATAATGTGTGTATTTGTGGACAGATAACTTTGAGTTAATGGAGATATGAAATGGCTAAGTATTATCATTAAGGAGGAATTTTTCATGTTTTCTGTTACTTAAAAAACACAGGCACAGAGTTTTCAAATGTTGGGTTGCACTGAGGTCTAGGTTTCTCCATATGGGGTCTCCACTTTGATCCCATATGCACATAATAAAAAGACTGAGTAAGAATGGAATGCTTGTAAATTAGTAGTGCTAATCTAGCTACATCCAAGGGCTTGAAACTGCTCCACAAATATATTTTCACTGTAAGTTTATTTTGTTTCCTTCAACATTGACTGTGTTCTTTTTCAAATAAACGGACCAGAGGCATAATAAATTTCTGGTTGCTAGGTGTGGTTTCCTACAAATATGCCACATCCTACCGAGACTGGCTTATTCTGAACACTGGCACTTTGTGGTCTAGGGTTTATATTGCAAAGTATTAGTAGTTTTGCTGTTGTTTTTTTTTTTTTGACAGTTGAAATTGAACATCCAAATCCGGTATGCTTATGTAGTTAGGATAGTTTGCTGCTTTTAATGCTGACAAAAAAAACAAACAGTAGTGGCTTCGGGAGGGGCAGCTTTACTTAGTGAATTTCCCACAACAGGTGACATGTTCTTGTTTCTAAGTTACTAGGAAAAACAGGGGACAGTCACCATTTGATTTTGTTTGTAGCATATTACACTGTTCCAACCTGTTTGCCCCAAGAATAATATTGTGGTCTTTGCTGCTCTGGGCCTTTGAGCAGGTCCTATTTCTATGTTCTGTACCCTCATCTGCTCAATTGTAAAGACAGTTCTCATTGTTTCTCACAGCTCGGTACCCCAACAGTAGGCCAGTATACACTTGTGACCAAGAATGACCCCAGATTCTTGAGGGTTTGAAAAGATAACATGTGTTGATGAAAAAAGCCAAACTCTAAAATATTTGAAGAGGTTCATTCTGAGCCAAATATGAGTGACCGTGGCCCATGATACAGCCTCAAGAGGTCCTGAGAACACATGCCCAAGGTGGTTGGGTTACAGCATGGGGGAGACAGAAGTTACAGGCAAGACATAAATCAATACCTGTAAGGTATACATTGTGAGGGCGAAACTCTGATTTTTTTTATCTTGCCCAAATTCCTTTCTAAGGGGTCTGGGGAGTCATGCCCCACAAATCACAAATTGTTACCAGATGGGTTTTGTTTAACCCATATATCGTGATTTACTTTCCAACCTGACTTTGGCGTAACATTACAAGACAAAGAAGAAAATCAAAATATTTTACCCCAAAACATGTTTCTTTGCCATATTTTGAAATTGCCCTGCAAAGCTGTTCTTTGTGGGGGGGGAAATTGTATCTGTAAAGAATCTCTATTAACATAGCTAGATCTTTTTTTTCCAGACCCTCCCAATCCTAAAGAGATTAACTAAGATCTGAATAGGAAATATTTCTCATCTATTGTCTCTAAGGGCAGCCACTATAAGACTTCAAAAGAACTTTGGTCTCCACATCTTTTTCTTAACCCGAACCATTCCCTTTCTACCAATCCCAGGTCTTTAGACAAATTCAACCAATTGTCAACCAGAAAATGTTTAAATTTACCTATAGCCTAGAAGCCCCCCCAACCCCCACCCCAGCTCTGAACTGTCCCGCCTTTCTGGACCAAACCAGTGTATTTCTTAAATGTATTTGATTGATGTCTCATGCCTCTCTAAAATGTATAAAAACAAGCTGTACCCTGAGCACCTTGGGCACATGTTCTCAGGTCCATGTGGGAGCTGTGTCACGGGCCACAGTCACCCATATTTGGCCCAGAATAAATCTCTTCAAATATTTACAGAGTTTGACTCTTTTCGTCAACACTTGGTTTGGCCTGGAAAGGTAGGACATCTCTAAGCAGGGGCTTACAGGTCATAAGTAAGTGGATTCAAAGATTTTCTGTTGGCTGGGCGCGGTGGCTCACGCCTGTAATCCCAGCACTTTGGGAGGCCGAGGCGGGCAGATCACAAGGTCAGGAGATCGAGACCACGGTGGAACCCCATCTCTACTAAAAATACAAAAAATTAGCTGGGCACAGTGGCGGGTGCCTGTAGTCCCAGCTACTCAGGAGGCTGAGGCAGGAGAATGGCGTGAACCCGGGAGGTGGGGCTTGCAGTGAGCTGAGATTGCGCCACTGCACTCCAGCCTAGGCGAGAAAAAAACAAAGATTTTCTGTTTGGCTGTTTGGCAGTTGGTTGAAAAAGTTAAGCTTTGCCTAAAGAGTTGAAGTCAACTGAAAGAAATGCTTCAGTTAAGATAAGGGGGATTGTAGAAGCCAAGGTTCTTGTTATGTAGATGAAGCCTCCCATTAGCAGGTTTAGAGAGATTAAATGGTAAAACATCTCTCATGGGACCTTAAAAGGTGTCAGATCTTTCCTGGATCAGGAAGAGACCTGGAAAGGGACAGGGGCTCTCTACAGAATGCACATTTATCCCACAAGGGATGGCTTTGCAGGGCTATTTCAAAATGTGTCAAAGAAATATATTTTGGGATAAGGCTGGGTGCAGTGACTCACGCCTGTAATCCCAGCACTTTGGGAGGCCGAGGCAGGTGGATCACCTGAGGTCAGGAGTTTGAGATGAGCCTGGCCAACATGGTGAAACCCCATCTCTACTAAAAATACAAAAATTAGCCAGGTGTGGTGGCACACACCTGTAATCCCAGCTACTCAGGAGACTGAGGCAAAAGAATCACTTGAACCCAGGAGGCGGAGGTTCCGGGTGAGCTGAGATCACGCCATTGCACTCCAGCCTGGGCGACAAGAGCGAAACTCTCTCCCAAAAAATAAATAAATAAATAAATAAATTTTGGGGTAAAATACTTTGATTTCTTTCAGAGCCTTCTATCTGTCATGTGATGCTATACCAGGGTCAGGTTGGAGGTAGGTATTTTATTGCTACAAAGATTCTATGTCAGCCTTATGATCTCTATTTGAGTGTTAATGCTGGTCAGTTGTGCCTAAACTCTAAAGGGAGGGAGTATAATTGAGGCATGCCCAACCTCTCTTCCCCTCTTGGCCTGAACTAGTTCTTCAGGTTTCTTTGGGATCCCCCCGGCCAGGGTAGGGGGATCCATTCAGTCCATTGGGGAGCTTAGAATTTCATTTCTGGTTTGCATGTGCAAAGTCCTTAGCTAGTGCTGTCACATAGTGAGGACTCAGTGTTGGGAGCTACTTCTAGTACTACAATTGTTATCATCATCATAGGCTCAGTGCCTGTCTCAGATGTTTAAATCTGACCCTTTTAAGAGGAGGCAAAGCAGAATAAGGAGTGAATGGAAGTAGGAGGTTGTGGCAAATTCGGAAAGCAGCATTTCAGGTCAGCCCTGTGCTCTGTGCTCATCATATCTTTGCTCCCAAGGCTCTCCACAGATAATCTTTAGCTGTCAACTCAGATTGCTGTTTGCTGTTATCTCAGGTAGCAGACAGTAACTGTTGATAGTCCTAACTTTGGAGACTTGTAATATAATAAGATAAAGATAAAAGCCTATACCTCTTATCCAATGTGGAAATAAAATCAGTTTCCCTTAGGTATCATCTGGTGAAATTTAGTCTAATGGTCACATAAAAAGATTTAGGCATGAGATCTTAGACCATAGGAAAGTGCATTTAATAATTCTTAATTGAATGAAATATAAAGAATATCAGGTAGAATGGAAATGATACTGATTTGTTATTCCAATGATTCTTAATATTCATGATCTCCTTACTTGTAGAAGAAAGAGAAACCCGTTAGGATAATAGGGACTAAAGAAGCCAGCACTGTATAAAATGTAGCCACTAACCCCATGTGGGTATTTACATGTAAATTTATTTATTTATTTATTTATTTATTTATTTATTTATTTTGAGACGGAGTCTTGCTCAGTCACCCAGGCTGCAGTGCGGTGGCGCGATCTCGGCTCACTGCAAGCTCCGCCTCCCGGGTTCTCGCCATTCTCCTGCCTCAGCCTCCCGAGTAGCTGGGACTATAGGCGCCCGCCACTACGCCCGGCTAGTTTTTTGTATTTTTAGTAGAGACGGGGTTTCACCGTGTTAGACAGGATGGTCTCGATC